TAAAGAAAATGTAACATTTGCGTAAAATACATAATTCAGGGAACTACGTTATAAAAGTAATGTTAAAGTCGTATCCGTCCCACAGAGAGGGATAAGGAATCGAATTTTGTGAAATCACGGATAGCGCTTAGCCTGTGAACTACCATTCCATGTATATGTCGCAACCAACAAGCTTAATTAGTCTTTCAGTTAACAGACTAGCCTTTTTAATAAACTACGCCGTTCTACTAACGGCCTGAAATACTATGCGGCGCGATGTGTCCAATGCAACATTTCACCTATCTTATAATATCAGCGACAGTAAGTAGGTTGAGGTGCGGCTGGGGACTGGGGTGGCTCTTGGGTCACCCTAAAGCCGCGTACATTTATGTAATCTAGCCCATCGCGACATTACATGGCATGGTCACCCTATTAATTTAATTCAAAGAGACGGTCGAGTTAAACGGCGCCGTTTAGTAAAAAGACTAGGCTGTTAAATAAATGTCTAATTAAGATGCGTCATATGCATACTTCGTAATTCATTTTAAAATTTATTTTGTGTATTCTATTAGTAACATTCTTAAATGCTGAAAATAATTTGCCTAGCGATAATTGACTTTCTAAAAATGTAAAAACCGATTGCAAAGAACTAAAAAGAATATAATCATCAAAATTAGTAGACGTGGTGCAGAATTATTCGGCCATATGTCGTGCAGATGCATTTGTAAATTAAAGAGTTATATGATTCTCTCATGGATTCCATCATCAGATCTTATTGGAACCTTTCCGCTTTATCATCATTACAGTTCTTCACAAGTCCACTGTTGAACATATGCCTCCCCAAGGAATGTCACAAAGCACGGTCCTGAGCCACATGCATCCATCGATTTCCTGCATGTCTCACCAGGTCGTCACTCCGTCACGCCCTACACTTCGTCTACCATCTCGCTTACTAGCAAAAAAGGTCAGACAACGAGGCCAAGAATTATCGCTGAACATACATAGAAAACTATTCCAATAAATTGTGAACTGCGTCCTATTTAGAAGTCGGTTAAAACAGCTTTTGTTCCTGTTTCTAAAATATTTATGTAAAGAGATTGAGTTAAGACATCTTAATTGGACCGTATTGTGCAAAAATGTTTCAACCCGCAAAACATAATTAGGATTAGAAAGATAAGTGCATTTCTTTTTGTTGCAGAAACTCTATTATTATATATGTGATACTTATATATAGCTAGAACGAGTGGGAGATTACAGTTCTACCATCATTTATTCGTATTTTCTTTTTTTTTTACCCTCAGTCCTGATATACTACTGATGATACTATAATCATGTTTTGGTTTCATATAATTTTAAAGAAAATTGTGTGTAGATTTTCGGATAACTTGTTATTTTTCAGAAGTGTATCATATTTGAAAATAAACTGCCTCTGCCTCATAAAGTACCTCTGGATCATTATTTAGCCAGTTTATGGGTTGGATGGATAATTTTGCACAACACGGTCTATTCTTCAATGGAAATTGGTTTGTTACTAATTAGATACTATAGAACGATCAAAGCTGGAATCTGAAGTCGAAACGTGAAAAAATGGAAAAAATATAAATAAATATTCTAATAATTATCCAATAGAATTAAAAAAAAACTAATAATAGATAATTTATTCGTTTATTATGTACATAAATGGTAGCAAACATTTTTAATAATGGTACTATGCCAGTTTGATATTTAACTAAATAATACATTTTTTCTGGTCCATATATAAAAGGTACAATTGTAAAGAATAAAATATTCTCTTATGGTAATTATTATATAAGAAGCGAGTTAGGAAAATGTAGATTTTAATTTTTTTAAACTATGTAAGTAAAGGTAATGAGGACCATCAAATATAGCTGAACTAAGCAAAGAGTACCTAGGTATATAATCCACTATTTAGCTTCGAAGTAAGTTAGAGCATGCATTGGAGTTTAACTGTAGCGCTGTGAGGTCTTTTCTGCCGACTTCCAAAAAGGAGACGGTACTCAATTCGACTGTATGCTTTTTTATGTGTGTTACCTCATAACTTTTTACTGGGTGAACCGATTTGGATGATTCTTTTTTTATTTGAAAGCTGGTACTTCAAGTGTGATCCCATATGAATTTGATCAAAGTCAGACCAATAGTTTTTGAGTTATTCTTAATAACTCATATTGAAGTCGGCTGTACAAAATTTTTAATTTTAAATAATTTCGTTATGGTCAAGTATTTAGATGGCCTAAAATTATTGGGTATTTTGACACTAGTCAACTGATACCCTTTTTAAGTTGTCCAAACAATAATTCTATAGAAGTTGTATACGAATATAGTGTAATGACGTCATCGATTGCATATCAAATAATCATCTCATTTGTAAATGTATAAATACTAAAAATGTAATTGACATTAAAATAGAAAATCGACCAAGTTTTAAGGCACCACATAGTGTAACAAAATTCTAGTTACATAATGAATGTCGAATGTGGTATCAACTATCGTATTGTTCTAGGTCTGTGTTGGCCAAGTGAAATTTCATCGTCATCATTATAGCCCACCACCAAGTCCACAGCTAAATATGAGTCTCCCCCATAGACCATAGATAACCTCTTTGAGGATTTTCTATAGTTGTCAGGCTTGGTTGGCAATGAGTTATTGGAACGAAGTTCCTTATCGGACGGTACGGGTTTGGCGGTTGTAAAAAGTGTAAGATTTTTTCGTCACTACCCCTTGTATCTTAGTGTAGACGGCTTTGGCGGCGAAATATGGAAGTGAGATGGAATAATATCCATTTCCCATTCGCACTTTTTCTTATCTTGCCATGAAAGAATTATTATTTTATCAAATGACGCTTCATTTTAATAGACGCTAGTAATGCATTTATTTGTATTCATTCTACGTTCCAATCGAGTGTTCCACGACACTCACGTATTTTTTTTATTTTAGTTGTTATTAGGGGCATCTCCCCGTGCTGCCCATATCCTGTTCCATACCGTGCGTCGCCTCTTACGACACGCACGCGACGTTATGGGGTAGTGGATTCTCAAACGCCACAGCTACACGGCGCGAAATGAAACCAGAATTGTAGATTCAAAGTTAAATGAATGACTCTTAAGCCGCGTATCCACCAAAAATGTTGACAACAGTTATGTTTCCAATTGTTTCCAACAAGCGTCTCCACCGAGGCAACAAATGTTGGCAACAAGCGTATTCCTTTGATGTTGCCGCCGAAAACTTTGGAAACAAGTTTTGTTGGCAACTGTTGTGTTGGCAACAAAACTTTGGTGGAGACGCGGCTTTAGAGTGGCTGATATAATATTATCAAGATTTCTCTGTGCTTAGCAGTTTCAATTAGGTAAAATATGCTAAGTAGGACAGTGAAAGCGTAAGGGTTGTTTTATAATTAGCGCCTCCAGAAGTCCTATCTTCTGTTCTCTTGTTCTTATTTCCAAAAATATTTTGGCACTTTCTTTTAAATTTTGGCCTTCTGACATAGTAATACCAATTACTGTAATTCGAGATGTGCAAAACACATTTTTGTATGAACTGTGAATGGTCCTCCTTACCTCTACCATCTACTTTTAAAACGTCAATTGATAACTTCGAAAAGATATGCGTTACCCACCACCAATCATAGTGTATTATCGTTTCTAATGATGAGAGTCGTTAAAATTAATATACTTACTTAAGAAGAAAAGTTTGGAATACTTTTAATAGAAGAAAGAAGTCAAAAGCAGGGATTGAAAACCGGTTCCAAGCTACAGTACGATTTAAAAATTTGAGATACGGATTCCAAAATACCGAAATTTTTCAAGTTTTAAATAGAAGGGGATGGAAGGAAATGTATCACACTTCACACAATTTTTTTTTACTGCATGTTTTTTTACCAAAAACATTATTTTATGACTCAAAAAAAAAAATCAAGAATCTTTAGTATCAGAACCGCTATATATAATTTCTTTACCGGTATTTTTGCAACCTTTTCAATTCCCGGTTAAAGCAGTAATACATATATTTATTAGACAAGGAGCCAATAACATTTTTTAATAATATTATATACAAAAAAGTTTATTTATACGAAATGTCTTATAGTTACTGTGAGTTACTTTGTCCCTATTTTCGTTATCTTCATCAGTGTGGTGTCTTAAGAGGAGACTATGGGAAATGCCAAATAAAACTTATGGCTTCCGAGAGATGGCGGTATACAATCTTGATTTAACCCAGATGTTACTGTAACTATTTTTTGTTTTCGATCTTGGTGATATTCGGATATGATAGTTAAAATGACTCATAATAACGAGGAAAAATAGTAAAAAAAATTACATGTTTTCAGAAAAGCCGGAAAAGGGTGGGCTTTTAAAAGTCCCGTCGTAATATGGGGATTGTTTACATGTATGTGGCGGTCTAATAATAAAACAAACTGTTATTACGAGTATATTAGTTTTTTATTATTACGGTAAATTTTAACTATACAAAAGAAAATAGACATAGGTATAGCAAGTTATGTGATATGATGTCTCACAATAAAACAACAGCACTTCACTAAGTATATCACATTAAAAGTCAGTAAAGTTCACTAACTTTACTGAGTTTTAGTGTGATATTCAAGGAAACAGTTCTTAGGATGTAAATGAATCTTACACTTTTGGCAAATAAAAAATCTTTTAACTTTGCAAACTTTGCATCTTAGTTGGGGAGCGCTGTACTGGACCAAGTGATCAACCCCATCATATCGAGATGATTCAAGATGAGATCTACCTGTGGGACATGGTCCCCTCTTATCGCTTTTTTTGTAGCTTTCGAGCAAACCTTTCGCCAGTAGTCTACGAAAAGTGAGATGATCATGTTCTCCACCGTCTCGCTTGTAAAGTTGCCATGCATTATGCACAGCCATATCTAAGGTGTGACAAAACAGTGAAAAATACCATTTCTTGCCACGAATAGAAGTCCGATACAACCCTATGTTTTGATCGGATCTATCGACCCCTCCCATATTTTCATTGTATTTTCTTATAACCGACGGTTGGTCAATATGTACAAATCTTTTTAGTTCTTGCGAAAATCTCTTGACTTTTTGCAGGGGCTCCACAGTTTCAGTATTCGATGCAACAGTAACGACACTATTGTCATTCCACTTGCAAACCAAAATATTGGTAGGCAAACTGGATTTGAATACAAATGAACCTCTATCAGTATTTTTGAAATCTTTGTTAGACTCGAGAGGACACTTGGACGTTCTGTTTTCACGAATAGTTCCAGTGGCTCTTAGACCTCTATTACTAAGTTCATGCAGTAGAGGAATAGAGGAAAAATAATTGTCGAAGAATAAATGAAATGGCAATGTTGGATCACGACCTTGTAGAACATCAGCAAACTCCAAAATCACACTCCCACCTAGACCAAACTGTTTGTAACCTTCTGCAATGGTTGAAGATTTTCCCTGGTAAGGATCAAACCAAATCACGTAGCCTAATCTTGTAGCACCAACCCACAGTTTATACCCCCAACGAATTGGTTTGCCACGTATAAACTGTTTGCAACTGTGACGTCCATAGTATGGAACCATAGCCTCATCTATGCTGTAGTTCTCTTCTAGCGGAGCCATTTCAGTAAAGATTTTATTTAACTCGTCAAACAGAGGTCTCAACTTAGCGAATTTGTCAGGAGAATCACCAAGAACTGTATTATCACAGCAGTGGAGATTTGACATAATAAAAGTAAAACGATCTCTTGACATAGCGTTGTGCACAATCCTAAAGTCGGCATCTGTCGATGTCTCCCAATACATAAACCTACGGGGTACTACTACATACCCGCTGTACATAAGGATGCCCAAGAAACACTTCATTTCAGAAACAGTTACTTTGCCTACTTTATTCCTCTGTCCTGCATACAAATTGGTATATCGCACTAGTAATTCAATAACATTGTTGTTGAACAAGCAGTCGAAATAATATAAGGGTGATTGTAAGTTTTTTGGACCTTGTTCGTCATTCCATTGATTGAAATGGTTTGGAATATGACGATTCTTCCATCTATAGGTTTGGTTTCGGGGAACTGTAGGCTGAACAAATGTAGAATTAGTTGACACATCTGAAGTACAAGAAGGTACGGCGTCACTATCTTCTAAAGTCAAATCCATCGTGCGTCTTCTTTTTGACAAACTTGACAAAAGTACATCATCTTCTTCGTCGGAACTCATATGAAAAGTGACCTCGGCTGGAGCTCGTAGTTGGGAGCCTATAAAAAACAGATATAAATATTGCAACCATATAAATAAAACAAGATAGAATCATTGATACGTAGTTATATCAACCCGAAAACAAATATTTTACCTGGTAGATTTTGCAATGCAACAAATTCTTCATCTCCAGAATCCTCATCTGTGACGTCGGCATTAGCGTTCTCAGGTGGAAAAATTGTAATTTGAGTTGGCAACAAATCATCATCCTCACATCGCTCTAATTCATCAACTATATCGTTGAGAGTGAGTGCTCTCAAAGGTCGCGTGCTAAAAAGAAAACAATAATATTATAGACTCCCATATTGCGACGGGACTTTTAAAAGGCCATCAATTTGAAACGTGAAAAAGGAATGAGTTTTTGTTGCACCAAAACAAATAGATAACCTGATATTGTAGATAATATTTCTAAAATTAAATATCAAAATGTATTAGCAACAACATCCAGATATATAAATGATAAAAGCTTACCTTTGTCCAGACATCATGACACTAATACTCCTAAGTCTTCAATGACACAAAAACTTTAAATAAACAAGTGTCCAGTTGTAAACAACACCACATGAAATCATACACGGATAGGTACTAAGTAACCTGACAGTGCAAATATCTTAGAGAATTCATTTTAACAACTCGAAACTTGAGGGTATTTGTAATAATTTTTTCGGGTCTTTTAAAAGCCCCGTCGCAGTATCTGGGTTAAGTCAGACGTAAAATACTGAGCAAAAACTTGGCAGTGCAAGGAGTGCCAAGTGAGGCGATTCCTCCTCAAACAATAGGTATGGGCCTCAGCAGTGGACTTTTACGGACTTATGAAGAACAACCTCACCACATCGAAAACATCGAGCCTCTCATAGAGCAGTTAAGCGATAGCAGTACGAGTTTTGCATTTTTTATGACCGCGTGCTAATTATTATTTGTATCGCCAGTTTTATTAAGATTATATTAGTATAGTTTATATACCAGGAATGATACAGTATGAATATTTTTAAGAACTATATAGTTTAAGATAATCGGTGAAGGAATTTAGAATCGATAGCGAAAATTATTATATAATTTTAAGAAACCCATCAACTGTGTTTTATTTCTTACCTCAACAATTAATTTAATTTGGGATAAAATCACATATAATAATTTATAGCGTTAATTAAATACGATTGATATGCGATAGTTGTTTTATTAAATAACCGGTCTAAAATATTACTGGCTCCTAGAGTACTTGCTTACAAAAATGTATTATCATACGAGAAAAGGCATCGGGCAGTGCTCGTATTCACATAATTACTAAGCTTTCGATTTCTTTCGTTTCATTCAGGTCAAGGCACTGAAAATTAAATCTACTTTTATAATTACATAAAAATTATTTTCGTTTGAATCAGAATAACATAAGTATTTTTCTGATAATACAGTACACTAATTGTATTTTAATATTACTGTGAGCTACTGATAAATAACAATTAATTCCAAAGTTATAATTATGTAAAAGCAATAAACAAGTTGACATCAAAGTCCCAATTTATTTATAAAAAATACGGATCAATATACAATCTGAATGATTTAATTATCAATATATTTCTGTAAACATTTGAACTATTAATTAATAATAATAGATTTAACTTAAGAAAAATCCCTGTAATAATGAAAATAGAAAAAAAAATGTATGAAAATAAACAATTTATTTAACACAACAACATAATCATTAAACATGTAATTTATTCATGAAAATAACGATTGGAATAAGTGCAAAATAGCACGCTTTTATTGACAACACAATATAGGCACATTTAGACTTGATTTATGTTTTACTAATATTGGTGTTATTTTCGATAAAAAGGCTTGGGCGTAGCTTTTGATGGAGGAGCTATTCATTTAAGATCTATTTAAGTATATTGATATTTATTTAAGTATATTGATTAAGGTTAATGAGGAGGATCATATGAACTTACCTTAACTTTTATTCTGTATTCAGGTATCTTTCGGATACTAACAAATTAAGCGAGAAGTGAATTTAATAAGGAATTACAATTCAATGCCCATGTTATTTTGAACCAAATACAAAGAAAGCCACGTCCCAATACAAAAAAAAGTATCCATGTCCTCACTTCATCAGAGCCCTCACAACCGCCTCCGGGTTCAGAGCCTTTAAGTCGGTGTAAGTTTGTCCCGTGCCAACGAACACAATCGGCTGTCCCGTTATGTAAGTCATCGAAATAGCGGCACCGACCTTGTCGTCGATCGTGTCAAACTTGGTCAGCACTATGCCGTCGATGACGTGAGGGTTGGAGGATGAGCTGTGGTCGGCGAGGGCCTGGTTAAACTTGACCAGCTGGTCCACTGCCTCGTTGCCAACGAGAGCTTCGCCGACGAAGAGCACCAGATCGGGTTCGTTGACGGTGATCAGTTTGGCCAAGGCTCTCATTAGAGGCTCGTTGTCTTGCATTCGGCCAGCCGTGTCCACTAGCACGACATCGGTCTTGGTGTCTGCCGCGTAGCGGATTGCTTCCATCGCTATTCCTGCCGCGTCCTTACCTGAGGATTTGTTGAAAATGTTTACAAAAATTGACGCTAGATGGCCGAAACACGAGTAATTTAATGTAATATTTTATGATTCTCTCGCAGGCTAAACCCTACAGATGTATGTATGTTTGTCTCTTTTAGCGTCACTTTTTCGTTTCATCGAGTTTCAAATTACAACGATTCTAAAGAAGTTTTCACTTATATATTTATATGGCACAAAGATTTTCCCACGGTAGCTAACTGTTAGCTACCGTGGGAAAATCTTTGTATCAGAGAGCACGAGGGATCTGTGACAGAAAACATCTGGCCGCCGAGCTTCAGCACGTCGAGCAAGTACTGCAAGACAACAAGCTTCGGGTCCCGCGCCTACGTCACAGTGACCGAGTGAAGCCAGCCACAGTCGAGCGTGTGCCTGCTGTACTACCATATGTCAGAGGAGTCACAGACAAGGTTGGCTACATCTTGAAGCGAGCTTCTATTAGAACATTCTTCAAGCCGCCGAAGAAGATTAGTCAGTTCTTACCATCTGTCAAGTGTCATATCCCGCTACAAGATGCAGGAGTGTACAAGCTGGAATGTGAATGTGGTCTCTCGTACATAGGACAAACAAAAAGGTCTATAAAAACCCGCGTTAAAGAACATATAGCTGACGTGAAGCACCGACGTATCGGGAAGTCTGCAGTTTGTGAACATGTTCAAGATCGTCCCCGCCATTACATTAGATTTGATAGACCACAAATCCTCGCAAAAGAACACCGATTCCTCCCAAGGATGATTCGCGAGGCTATTGAAATTAAAAAAACACTCTAATTTCAATAGAGAAGATGGATGGCTGCTGCCATCTGCTTGGGATCCCATGATTAATAAAATCAAATCCAAACCCAAGTATACCACTGCTAGACTTCAAGATACTGTAAGCTCATTCTGCGTAAATCGAACCAAAAATTAATATTAAAAAACTGAAGGTAGCCGGGCTAACTATGACAGCAGGACGTCAAACACCTCAGTCCCCCGTGACCACGGGTGCTTTCCAGCACCCGTTAACTTATTTTTATATTGCCGAAACGTCGGAAATATAAAAATAAGTTAATATACGCGATAAAATCCGTAAAATAAGTTTTATTTAAAAAAGAGGCTATTAAAACAAAATTTCTTGCGTAGGTGCAGGTTGTGCATTTCTGTTGGAGGACGACACTTTGAGAATTTTTATCACAATCAAAAGTGTTTTTATGATTATTTTTTTCATAATTAGTTATAATTTAAAGAAAAAAAAAAGAAAAATTAAATACAATTAATTTTTTCTAAATTTCCTAAAAAAAGTGGCTTCTTTTTAATTTGATGGTAAGTTACAGAAAATAAATCCACATTGAGGTCTAGTTCTTTTTAATGTTTTTTGTTCTTGAAAGTCCATAGCAGTTTTTAGAAACACTTATAAGCCATTGGCATAATTTTTTATAATAAAATTTATGAGTCGAACATTTGTGACTAATGCTCGAACAGTAATTTTGAACTTTCAACTCAATTTCAGTCATGTTCCATAGGGTCTAGGTAAACCATAACTTATAAGGTGGTATCAGACGTTTTGGTAATGAAAAAATCACAAACATCCACTAGAAAGTGAAAAAATATCAAAATCGTTGTCAGGTGAAAATTATGAAAAAAAAAATCATTAAAAAAATTCCACCTCCTAAACTACTAAGAATCGCGGAACATACATGGGGGTGATTCGGATACCCCTCAACATAAGGCATCTAAATTTTATCTTTGGACGTCACTTCTCCGGCCATCCTGTATACCTAGTCAGGTCATAAGTATTGTCACACAGTAAAAACTTTTCTTTTAGAATGCTGGCCACAAAAAGTTTATTGAATTCGAATTTCGAATTGTTCATGAAAATAAAACTGTATACTTTTTAGAATTTTACTCATTTTTAAATATGGAGTGGACGCTTAAAGAAGACCGTGTTGCAGTTATTGCGTTGCATCGTTGCGGTTACGCGCCAATTCAAATTTTTGATATACTGAAAAATTTGAATATAACCAAAAGATTCGTTTATCGTACCATCAAACGATACAATGAAGACTCTAGTGTAGATGACAGGTCAAGAAGTGGTCGCCCTCGGTCTGTTAGGACTCCAGCAGTGTAAAAGCTGTGAAGGCGCAAATTCAAAGAAATCCCAAACGTAAGCATAAATTGTTGCCCTTCAGATGGGGTTAAGCAGAACCACGGTGAAAAGGGTGTTGAATGTAGAAATGAAGACTTAGGGCTTCGGGCATATCGAAGAAAAACAGGACATCGTTTGAATGCTCGTCTAATGGACCTGAGACTGAAGAGATGCCGCGCTTTGTTGAAGCGGTACGCGCGAAAAAATATCGGGAAATTCTTTTTTCGGATGAAATAAATTTTACCTTAGAAGAGAGCTACAACAAACAAAATGATAAGGTGTACGCACACAGTAGTGAAGAAGCGAGCAACCGTATTCCGCGTGTCCAACGAGGTCATTTTCCATCCTCGCTCATGGTATGGTTGGGAGTTTCTTATTGGGACTTAACAGAGATACATTTTTGTGAGAAAGGTGTAAAAACGAATGCAGTTGTGTATCAAAATACAGTCCTGACGAACCTTGTGGAACCTGTTTCTCATACCATGTTCAATAACAGGCACTGGGTATTCCAACAAGATTCGGCGCCAGCTCATAGAGCGAAGAGCACACAAGACTGGCTGGCGGCGCGTGAAATCGACTTCGCGGCACGAAGACTGGCCCTCCTCCAGTCCAGATTTGAATCCGTTAGATTACAAGATATGGCAACACTTGGAGCAAAAGGCGTGCTCAAAGCCTCATCCCAATTTGGAGTCACTCAAGACATCCTTGATTAAGGCAGCCGCCGATATTGACATGGACTTCGTTCGTGCTGCGATAGACGACTGGCCGCGCAGATTGAAGGCCTGTATTCAAAATCACGGAGGTCATTTTGAATAAACTTTAGTGTCATAAGAATCTATGTTTTGTAAAGTTCATTTTGGTATATAAATGGTTACATAATGAATAAACTTGTTTCAATTATTTTATATTAAACATGTGACAGAATTTATGACCTGACTAGGTCTGACGGCAAAAAGCCAAAATGAAGGTTACACCTAAGTTTAACCGGCTAAAATTAGGTATAACCAATGTTGATTAAACTTAATTTTATTTGTTCATAACTAAAACGAGGTGCAGCCAGTTGTTTTCTGGTAGAACTAGGTAAAATAGTACGAATAATAACATAGTAACATAAAATGTATATACAGGGTTGTTTTGTAATAACCGGCTAAATTTGAACAGAATGTTCAGAATATGTAATATATGCAAATGGTGAAGAAAAATTAATTTAAAAAAAATCTTAAACAATGTTCTTTTTATCTTTTAAATACAAAATGCGTGGCAATGCATTATTTCAACTGATTTCACTGCGCACGCACATATTTGTAACGGTAGGCAAAAATGTTTGTTTCCCATAAATTACATTTAATTTAGGATAATTTCAAATAAAAGTAGAAGCCTTATTTACTCGTATTTTCAAAAACTCCATTAACTGTATGTTATTATTTATATATTTGAATTTAAGTTTAAAATTTGGCTACTCTTTGAAAAATAAACCTGTATAACGCATCTGAAGAATAACCTATTTAAAAAATTAATCATTAAAATCGGTTCAAAATTCACGAAGATATTATATAACATACATACAAAGAAGAACATACAGTCAAATTGAGAAGATCTTCCTTTTATGAAGTCGAATAACAGCATACAATAATTAAGATAGAAACTTTAAACCAACCATATCCCTTCTCGTACAGATGTACCATACGTCTCGAGTGCACTTGCTGAGGATGAAGTGCGTCCAGGCGACGCACGTGAGTCCTCAACTGCTCCACAGCACCAGCCCTGAACGTGTCGCAGGCCGCTATCAACACGGACAGGTCGTTTTCCAGCAGCCAGAAACACACTTTAGCCAAGTTCGTTGATTTTCCAACACCATTCACCTACAATGAGAGCCCCACTTAATACACTAACAAATGGTAAAATTAAAAATTTTGTACAACCGACTTCGATATAAATAAAATGAGAACATCATCAATGTAGTCGAAATCAATTAAATACGCATTATACTTGTAACTCAAAAACTACTGGTCAGATCTTGATCAAATTTATATGGGACCACATGAGGAGCACCAGCTTTCAAATAAAAATGATCAAAATCGGTTCACCCAGAAAAGTTCTGAGTTAACAGAAAGTAAAAAAAAAAACAGTCGAGTTTATAACCTCTTTTTTGCAGTCGGTTGAAAAACATGTTGAACTTCTCATTTTATCATATAGGGGCGGTATATTAGAATTAATCAACTGACGTCGCCCAATGGTTCCCTCCATTAGCTGGCGGTGCTATCATTTCAAATAGGAGAAATTAAAGTAAACTTATAATACTGCTTAGACCAGTGATTCCCAACCAGTGGTCTTAGCAGAAGCTTAAATATGATCCGCGAAAGATTTAATTATTTTACCTACCTAATTGTTTTAAAAACCGCACCGCGAGTCATGTATAGTGAGTACCTACTAGCTTTAACAATAAATACACAAATCAAATAATACTGCCAATGAATGCTTCTATTCAGAAGTAGTGATTATAATTTATTGT